CTCCATGTAACAGAAACCTGAGAAGAAAAAGCAGTAACAGGTATTCTATTTGCAGACAAAGTAGATTTCAAGCAAAGACTGATTAAGAAAGACACAGAAGTCATTACATGCTGGTAAAGGGAACAATCCCAGAGGAAGAGATAATAATCATAAATATACATGCACCAAATGGCAGTGCATAAACTATATAAAACAAATATCAACAGACATGCAAAATCAAATAAGCACTAATACAGTTGTGCTACCATTGTAATGGGGGAACTCAATATCCAATATCACAAATAGGCAGATCAACTAGACCCCCCCCAAAAAAAATGAAATTAGAAGTGAACCAAACTTTTGAACAAATGGACATAGACATCTACAGAGTATTCCACCCCACAACATCAGAATATATTCTTCTCAGTTATATTCTCCAAAACAGAGCATATACTAGCTTATAGAACATGTGTAGGTAAATGCAAAGAAATTAAAATTATCCTATGCATATTATCAGACCATAGTATAATGAAATTGGAAATCAATGGCAAAAGAAACCACAAAAACTTCATAAACATATGGAAATTAAACAACACCCTCCTGAACAACCTGAGTCACCAACAAAATCAAAAATTCAATACATACAAAATACATAACAAGAAAATCAGGGCAGTTAACATTTCCATCTCCCTAAACTTTTTTTTTAAGTTTAATATATAAAAATTGCATATTCTCCGGCTAACACTAAATTCAATCATCAGAGTAATATATTCTGGAGCCATTTTTTCTATTACACTTGCCAGTCATGTTTCTTCATACATGTAGTCCACTCAAAGTTGGCCTCAAATACCTCCTCCCCAAAGAGCCCAGTGGCTTCAGAAATCCACTGCCTTCTCACCAAGAACCATAAGCCAGGACTTACAGGTTCCATTTTCCTCCAGTGTAACGGAGGAACACACCAAAAATAGATGCCCTGAAACTTCCTGAATTCTCTCCTACACCTTCCACCTAGACTTTTATTATGACTAGATGTGTGGGGTCCTGAATGAGATACATTCTTGCTCCAAAATGTAGACCCTCTGATGAGGATAAGCCCTCAATCTACTCACTCAACACCAGTCTCCTTCAAAAGAAAGGACCCAGGAGGCTCACTTTTCCTTTCTCAGTAAAATTTGCACCAACAACTCCTTTTACCCTGATGCGTTTTAGCTACAGGAGTGCGACTCTAGCACACACAGGTTATATAGCTGGTTCTCCTTTATGTCTCAGAGAACCAGTGCTGATGTTTCCTCTTTTCATCAAGGCAGAAATGGAGAAACACAGCATAAACTAACAGCTTGAATTGAAATCCAATTACCTAGATTTCTGCTCCTCACCTAACTCCCCACATACTTGACACTACATTATTTTATAACTGGCAAGTAGCTAAGAATATTAGAGTTGCCAATCTACTAGAGCAAGACTGGGGTAGGGGAATGGAAAAAAACAAGAACCCAGATATAGCATGTAAAGGTACAAGATCCCAGTGATGAATGTTAATGTACTGTCTACCTAAAAAATATCAATAAACTTAATGGTTAAAAAAAAAAGAAAAAAGCCTGGGGTGAGAGTCATTTAAGGAAGTAGCTTTCTTTTTTAAATTCATATTTTTATTAGTACATTTTTGCAGCACATAATGATTACTTCATCATGGGGGATTTGTGTGTGTGTGTGTATGGCACACTGTAATTCTTTTGTGGTTGTTCTTGTTCCCTTTCCCTTCCTCCAACTGTTCTACCCTTCCTCACTTACAAAAGTTCTATTTCCACTTTTTTCTTTCATTTTTCTTTAAATCCCTTTCCCCTTCCTCTCTTGCCCCATCTTGCTTCTCTTGCTCCCTTTCCCATTTGAAAAGGTTATTCCTACTTCTTAATATATACCCTCCATTTTGCTCCTTATTTTGGTTTCTAGCACAAGAGAAACAATGTTATTTAAGTGTGTGTCTGATTTATTTCACTTAAGATTATGAAGTCAAGATGTATCTGTTTACCTTAAAATGTATCAAGTTTATCCTTCACGGCATATTCTATATCCATTTTTTCATGTGCTTATTTGGCCATTTCTACTTCTTTATTTGAGAAGTGTATATTCATTATTCATTTCACTCGCCCATTTTTTTACTGAAAGTCTTTAAATTTGAGGGGTTTTTTTTTGTTTTTTTGTTTTTTTGTTTTTTTTTTTTTTGGTTCTTAATACATTCTAGATACTAGTCATTGGTCTGAGGAGTAGAAAGGAAACATTTTCCCATTCTGTAAGTTGTCTCTTCACTCTTTTGGTGGTTTCCTTTGCTGTGCAGAAGCTTTGATGTGATCCCATTTGATGATCCTCTGTAATATTTCCTGTGCAACCAGGATTTTGTTCATAAAGTCTTTAAGGCAGCAACTTTCAAAGTGCCAAGTTGAAAAACATTTTGTAGATTCTGGCTACATAGATTCTTTCTTAAAGAATGGGAAATAGATCTAACTGCATCACATTTAAGAATAAATCCCTGAATCTTGTGTCATTTCATATAAACATTTATGTGTATGAGTCTTTTGCTGTAAGGATATAGTTCCAAAAAGTTAGAAAGCTGGGGCCAGGGATTTAGCTCAGTGGCATTGCACCTGCCTTGCAAGTGCAAGGTCCTGAGTTTGATCCCTGGTACCAAAAAAAAAAAAAAAAAGTTAAAAAGCTATTGATTTAAGGATTAGCTCCTTCTAGATTTGATGTTTTAATTCCTCTGGTTTAAAAAGTAATGCTAGAAATGAACCAAGGCTCTGATAAAAACCATGTTAAGTAGGCAATACTGGAGTAAAGGTCATGGGCCTTCTGCGGCAAAATACATAATCACCAATAGCAGCAACAGAAGCCCAGGCCCCAGCCTCGGCCAGGAAGCAGGTGCATGGGTAAGGCCCATGGCTACATTTGACTGGATTCAGGCAGAAGGCTACAGGCCCTGTCTGTTCACCACCCCCAGCCTTCCTTCCCAGCACTTCACTGGGGTTGTCTACAACGAAGAATCTTCATTCTGGCTAGTCTTTATCAATTTGGGAGCCCCCCCCATCCCCATCTTTGCTGCCACATTCCATAACTCACACCAGCTGACGAAAATTGAACTCAAAAGCCATGATGTCAATCATTTGACAGTTCATGCTCTCATTTTCATCTGCTCAGTCCCACTTTCCTTTCTCTCTGCAGAAACAGCCCCTATCAGCTATATGTTGGACATGTTCAGTATCTATCCTAATACTTTTAGAATGTATCTCTATGTGTGTGCACTAGGCTTAGCTTCTCTTTGGCTACACGATTTGGGGCAAGCTTTTGGACCATTAAAAGCCTCAAATTTCTCACCTGAAAATGTGGATGAAATGTGTACATACTTCATATAGTTTTGTGAAAAGTAAGCAAGTTAACACATGTGAGTACTCAGAATAATCCTTGGCCCATAATCTGTCTTTGGATATTTATGGCACTTAGTGTGAGTGCTGAAATAAATAAGGACCAGGTAAATACATCAGAATGTCAAACAGCAGCAATACAAGTGGGTGTGGTTTCTCTCTGAAAGTAAATGTGCCCATCTAGAGGGCACAGGAGAAAGAACTCCCAGGCAATCTCACCTCAAGGGAGTCTTTGCAAAATAACCCTGAACAAGGTCACACTGGGTCCAGGCTATGTTCCAAGGCTTCAACAAACATACACTTAGGTTAAGAACTATACAGTCTTGTTAGACATAGAGACTCTCAGGACAGTGAATACAAGGACATATTCAATAGAAATAGCTATGGTGGCCTGTAAACAAACCTTCTTGTGTGCTCTTCAGCAGGCCCCAGCTCTACAGATACCTTACCCCACCAGCCGACTTCTTGGACTTTTCTCTCCTTCAGGTCCTCCCGCTGCATTCACAGCTGCCCCTTGGGTCCTCTCTCCTGTCCACCTAGATGTGGCCTCCCCCAGCCCCCACCTTCATGGGCCTCACAGATGTCATTTCTAAAATGGGGGAGGGGTTGTTACGAGGAGTAAATCAAACAAGTTGTGTGAAAGCACTGACATAGCTCAGTTCTGTTCCCTTTTCTAGGAGGGTTCCATCCAGGCAGCTGTGCTCCCCTCCTGGCAACCCCTGTGATTCTGCCTTCTTCCTTGCCCACCACACCCCACATGGACCATGTCTGTGCCCTCCCATCCCCCACCTCTCTCCTGCATCCTATAGCTACTGATGGTGCTTCAACATCAGCAAGACAGTTGTTCTCACACACCTCAGAAGCTTCCACTGATCCCCAGCACCTACTGAGGATTCTACATTTTAGACGAGCATGCAAGGCCTTCTGGGAACCTTTCCAACTGTAGTATCCACTCATGAGAAAATTCACTTACTGGGTGGCACACCACAAAAACAGTATCCAAATAGAGGATTAAAAAAGCATAACAAGTTCTTATTGCAGAACCTCAGAGCCTTTAATACCTTAATGTGCACTCTGAGTCTTCACATTTTGCCCAGTTTATACCTCTAGTACTTTTTTCAAGTTCATGAAACAGTGGAGTGCAAATCTGAGCTGTGCTTTCCCGATACACCCTCAGAATGTGCCAGTTAGGACACGTACATAGGTGGGCCTGAGAGCAGCTGCCACAACTAATGGCTGTGACCAGCAGGGCACATTTGGTGTGGTCCACCATCACCACTTATGGGAAATCTCTGTGGGACTATAAAATCCCAGATGGAGCCAAGAAGCTTTTCTCAGCACATGATGAAAAGTGTGTTGGTCAGCAGTGCCCGGTGAGGGCTCAGAGATGCTTCAACCTCGACTGCCAAGGCTGTCAGCTTCCCCATCTCCAGCCCAGTCCATCCATAGCCTTCCATTCCGTCCCTGTTTTGTTTACATTAACCAGGGTTGACTTCTGAGGCTTGAACCAAGTAACCTCCATGACACATAGGCCTTTGGGTCCCTGAGCAAGCCCAACAAAATCACCTCTCAGTCAGAACCAGCCATCCCCGCCGCAACCAGTACCTGTCCCATCTGGGGTGGACCTCACAAAGGTGGGCAGCATTTTCACAGAAGCTGTGGGATGTGTGGTAGCTCCAAGTCCTTTTTCCATCTCCTTGCGGAACCGCTTAGAAATGTCCAGAAGGGTCTCATCAGAGAGACGCATGTGGTAGAGATACTGGTCAACCTAAAAGAAAAGAGACACCAAAAGTAGAGACTAATGGGTTAAATTTATTATAGTATAGCTCTATGTCATGGAATGTCACTCAACCCTTCAAAAGGGAAAATCTGTTATGGACAGAAGGTGATTATTAGACTCTTAGTAGAAATCAATTTGACAAGCCTTTGTTCTGGAGAAACACTGCAACCCTTCTCAGTTTCCTTCTTGGAAGCTCCCACAATCATTATTATACCCTTTTTTATTTTCCAGCACTTTTGTCAAGTCCTCTTGATTCTTATTTTTTCTTTGCAGTTATGGGGATTTACCTAGCAGTTCTCTATCATACCCATCCCTTTTTATTTTTTATTTTGAGATAGAAGCTGCCTATGCTGGCCTCGATCTTGTGATCCTACTTCAGCCTCCCAAGTAGCTAGGATTACAGGCATGGGCCACCATGCCTGGCTTGAATATTTTTAACAGAACTTGTATCCTAGGATTTCCAAAGCAGCAAAAGGTATTTATTTAATCCTCTAAGGACAAACCAGTGTCCTTAGAATCCTTACTGCTTTTAAAAAAGTGTCTCGTGATTCTGATGTACATTCAATTCTGGGAACTCTTGTCACAAGTGGTAAAATGGATATCGGGCAGGAGTTACCAGATTTATCTTTGATTGAGGCAGAGCTTACTTTATTTTTATTTTGACAAAAAAAAAGAGAAGAGAAAGTCCCTTACATCTCCCATGGGTCGAGCACGCCCTTCTCTTTGGGATTGTCCCTGCCCCCTACTGAATAATGGGCAGCCGTCGTCTCTCAAAAGTCCTAACCAATACTGATCCTTTATCATTCCTCCAAGATGCCATACATGGAAAAACCAGAGTCTGGGGTAAAACACTGAAAGCAGCTGTGCGAAGGAGGACAGAAAATTCCTGGTATACCGGCCAACCCCTCCATGACTGCCCGTGTACAAACAAGGAATCACAAATACAAGGTCTGCACAGGCTAGGTAAGGACAGAGTAGGAGACAATGGTGAAGGGGCAGCTTCTTCCCCCTCATCAGGATTCAGCCTCTTCTCTATGCCTTCCCCCATCCCAAAGAGAGATCACTCTATTCTGGTGGGATTGGGATTGCACAAATGAGGATTTCTTGCAAGTCTCTTGTTGCCATCACATATTAGAAAGCTCTCTTGGACTGTTTGAATCCCTTGGTCTAAATCAGGGAGAACCCAACTGTCACTCTGTTTCATATCAGGCTCCTGGTACCTCAGCCAGAAGGAAAGAGCACCTGGCCCAGAGTTATGGGAGAAAAGCATGCAGGAGATAAAGTGTACCAAGTTTTTAGCAGGGAGACAGCTAAAAAACATCCACTTAATAAAGGAAAGTCCTGTAGGGTTACTAGTTCAAAATCTCAGAGAAATGAATACAGCATCTGCCTTTACAGCCTTTGTCTCTCTCCCACTCAGTAGTTATCCAGTCCATATTCTAATGCTTCAAAGCTTATGAGGCTCACTACTTCTCTAAATTCCACTGTTTGAATTAGAAAGCTTTGCCTCAGCCAGGTGGTGGTCCATGCCTGTAATCCCAGCACTCAGGAGGCTGAGGCAGGATTGCTATGAGTTTGAAACCAGCCTGGGCTACACAGTGAGTTCCATAGCAGTCTGACCTACATAATGAGACCCTGTCTCAACAAACAAAAAACAAAAAACAAAACAAAACAAAAAAAATAACAGTAAGCCGGGTGTGGTGGCGCATGCCTGTAATCCCAGCACTCAGAGGCTGAGGCAGGAGGATTACTGTGAGTTCAAAACCAGCCTGGGCCACATAGTGAGTTCCAGGTCAGTTTCAACTACATAGTGAAACCCTGCCTCAAAAAAACAGTAAAATAAAATAAATTTTAAAAAAATAAAGAAAGCTTTGCCTCAATCAAAGATAAATCTGGTGATTCCTGCCCGATATCCATTTTACCACTTGCGATGAGTTCCCAGAATTGAATGTACATCAAAGAATCACGAGACACTTTTTTAAAAGCATTAAGGATTCCAAATATCCATTCTGACTCACCAAATGAACACCTCAACAGCTGGGGGCTCTGACACCTTCCTGTCCCAGGCAGATTTCCATTTCCCAGTAATGGAATAATGACTGACTGTGTTGTAGTCAACACTATTTAAGATCATTTTTACCACTTTTCTGCCTGGGGTCTCTGAAAGCCAACAGTGAAAGACTTTAGGCCAAGTGTGTCCCTGTGAAATAATCCTGTGTTGACCCAGGGTGCTGGATGCTAAAAAGACAAACCCTGCACTTGCTGGAAAGAGATATGAGTTGTTGGAAACTATCAAAGCAGAATCATCCAGCCTGAACCTCAACATTTTTGCCACTGGTGGTAGTAAAGTAAGGGCTTTGACACCAGAAAAAGCAGTGAGTAAATCCTTTCATTAGCACTTGCACGAGTATACAACAGTGGAAAACTCACTCCTGAGTTACAGTTTCCTCACTATAAAATGGGATAAAGAGCCCTATAAACAGAAGCATAATTAAAAAGTGCCAAACTTCCTCTTCTACCCTTTCTCCTCTTTCTGCTGAATTTGTCTCTGCCAAGTGGCACCCTCAGAGGAACAATGACATTTCTCACCCTCATTTAGTCACACTCAGAGTTAATAAGCCAAAGGCTGTTTCCCCAGATTGTTCCATCTCTTTCTCTAGTTTGTGGGCCTATCACACAGGGCTGCTTCTCCGTAAGTCTCTTATCTGGGTCAAAGAGGAAATGAGGGGTTCTTCCAAGCTGGAGAACCCAGAGACAGGCCAGAGCAAAGCCTGGCTGCAGTTTGGGAAAGCTGTCTGCCTGCCTGCCTGCCCGAGAGGCAAGGGTGAGTATTAGAATGAGGTACAGGCCGGGCGTGGGGGCGCACGTCTGTAATCCCAGCACTTGGGAGGCTGAGGCAGAAGGATTGCTATGAGTTCAGAGACCAGCCTGGGCTACATAGTGAGTTCCAGGTCAGTCTCAACTCAGTAGTGAGACTCTGTCTCAAAAAACCAAAAAAAAAAAAAGAATGAGGTAGCAGCTTTAGTTGAAATCTATTCAACAATGTTGAGAAGACAGGGACTTTCTCATCAGGCAATTTTGGTCAGTTTCATTTTACCCATAACACACCAACCAATCCCATCCCTTTAAGTGCCAAAGTATCCTCCCAGATCAGCATCAAAAGGAGGGAACACTGCAAAGAGCAAAATAAAAGATAGATAATAAGTGGGGAGATAAATTTTTCTAAAATGAGGAGATAAAGAAATGGAGAGGGGAAGAAAAAGGGATACAAAAAAAGAATTAAGATGTGGTATGTAATGTACCAGCTTCACACAAGGAGTGTAAACATTATGTACTGCAAACATGCACTTTTAAAAAAAGGTAACAATGGAAGGAACAGAGGAATCAAAAGGTCATTCTCAAAGAGGCAACACCTCAGAGCGTTGCTTGGGTCAGGCACGGCCCTGGTCAGGTACAGGGCCCCAAGAAGGAAGGGATTAGAGGAAGACGTCTGTCAGGAAGCAGCGTTGGCCAAGGACACACCGTTGAGATTGGAATCTGTATCACCCAGATGAATGACAACCCTGTGGGCCCAGAAGGATCCACCTCATTTCACAGGCCAACTCTAAGAGTGGTTGGTGGCTAATGCCTGGATCCTGAGCCTACCCTACCTGGTCTCAGCAAGAATCAAAGTATAGTTATGTGTAGAAAAGAGTAATATTTGAACCTTGATTATTTAAAGAAAGTATTATAAATCCTACCTTGAGTACCTGGAAAGGCTTTTAAAAATCTTATATTTCTAAATCTGTAAGATTTAGTATCATTCAACCTAAATCCCTGACCACTGTTGTAATCTGAAAGCCTCCCACTGTAAAATATTCATTGAACACCAATGACATACAAAGTATCAGTGTACAGAGGTAATCAAAATATATGTTTAAATTTTTTTAATTTATTACACTAAAAGACATTGCCATTAACAGTTCCCCTCACTTCAAACACTTATTCCTTCATCTTTGTTACTTTCTAAAGCAGCTCTGGGAGTCCTCTTTTAGTGTCTTTCAAGGTGAGGTTAAAAAATACAATAACTAAGCCAGGTGTGGTGGCACATGCCTGTAATCCCAGCACTCAGGAGGCTGAGGCAGGAGGATGGCTGTGAGTTTGAGACCAGCCTGGGCTACATAGTGAGTTCCAGGTCAGTCTCAACTCCATAGTGAGACCCTGTCTCAAAAAAACAAAAAAAACCATAACTGCTGCTGCCAAGTGCCATCCAAAGGCAAAAGAGGCCCATAAAAAATTAGTGTGACCTCATCTAGCTTATTCACCAGATCTGCCACTATACAACATCTGGCTCTTCCCCAAAGTCAAAATGACCAAGAAAGGTAAACATTTGGAGTCAATTCTGGACATCAAGGCTGCCAAAACAATGCAACTAAAGACACTTACCAAAAAAGAATTTCCAGAACTATTCGTATGAACTATGTAGATTTTTTTTCCCCCACCTAGAAAAAACTCTTGAGCTACAAGCAGCTGGTAGATGTAATTCTATCATTTCTAAGCAAGGAATCATGGGATAGAAGGAGCATAAAGATCACCCTATGGAGTAAAGCTGCTGTGTTGTTCACTAACCTTCTCCCCTCCTTGGCCAGCCAATTCCCTACAGGATGGTGTAGAAACATGGGTGCCCAGATATACCACGTTCCCTACAATGGGCCAACAGGATGAAAATACTGATTCACAGAAAGCTGTCCTTTTGCCTTAACTATCAGGAATCTCAGAATTCTGTCCTCAACTCCAGTGAACTATCCTTAAAGTTTTTTGGTCATTATTCCTGCCCATTTGATGACTCTTATTCTAGAAATCCTCTTGCTGAAAATTGACCCAAGTTGCCAAAGCTTTTCAGTAATCAGGCAGAAAATAATACATGAATGAGCAAACGCTCACATTCATTTCTACAGGACACACCCTCCTGGCAGAAGGGTGAATTTGAGTGATCAAATAGGACAAGA